AATTGAAAAATCAGTATCCAACACTAGTACTCGAACTCTTGACCCCATAACAATACATCTTCAAACTTTGAAATTGAAGCCCAATTTTTAAAGTAAAAGGATTGATCTGTCCAAAGTTTTCAACGATCAGTATTGTTTAGACATACCATACCCTCGAACTCTTACACACACTCGGGCTATGAACGTCAACATTCGAGCTAATTGGTTGCAACATGCGATCTATACTAACGATTGAACTCTTAAAAATTAGAACAGCTCGAATTCAAAATCATATTGTTCACATATGAACATAAAATCCACGCACGATCTCATAACAAAGGTAAGTCGCATGAACTAAGTAACAAATTGCAAAACCCAAATCGGGCCATAAACATCGAATTTCAAAAGCAACAGTAAGAAAACTCGGGTCGGGCAATGTACTAATACAACTTTAAAATAAAATTCAAGGTCTACGGCCTAATCAAGCTCGATAGTGTCAACCCACCCTAGTCGGGGGTTCCATCATCATCATCATCGCCATCACTCTCATCCTCGACCTCGGAGGTGGAAAGGTTGAGCTCGTTTACAAGCTCGTTCACCGTCCTAAGCTCTTCCACCATCGACTTCAGGTCGTTGGGAAACTTCTTTCTCAGGAGAAAGCGTGCAAGCCACAGCCCATAGTGATAAGACCTCAAACCATATTGCCCAAGGAGAGTCTCGAACTCGTCAGACTTCTTAAAATCTTCGAATTACCTGAGTACGAGCTTCTTCTCGGGCTTTCACCAATTCCTCTTTGAAGCTCTTTTTAGCTTGCAAGAGCTCGAGCTTGGCCTCTTCGGCCTCATCTCTAGCCACCCCGATTTTTTTCTCGAGCCTTACAGAGGTCGGGCTTCGCATCGTCTCGCTCCTTTGCAACCTCGAGAGTCCACCTTTTAGCCTGATCTCTTTCCTTCTCGAGCGCTTTTAGTTGGCTCGAGATATTTAGGCCATTCAAGGTAAGACCCTTTGCCACACTCAGCATCTATACAAAAAGAAAAAGAAAACTCGACGTCAGTACGATCAATGGAACATGAAACTAGAAACATCGTTAAGGTCAATATCTTACCCTCAAAGTCAAGACCTCCAACGTCTTGACACCTTCATGAATGTTGACCTCTTTCTCAAACCAGTCAACGAGGTCCTTCACCAAGGCGCACTCAGAGTACTCCTCGAGAGCACTATCAGAGATCGATGAAAGCCTGAATTAGCCACGCCCTGGCAATCCCGAGCTCAATCTTGCAATTTGGGCATTTGCTGGGGAGGGGAGGTCGGGCCCCTAGACATCGAGGTCTAACCTTTCAACTGTACCTGGGGTTCGAAGGTTGGGGTCATACTAGTACCGACATTCCTGGCCCGTTTCTTCTCATTGGATTGGGCTGGGGCCCTTGGCCTTATGATGAACATTGGCTAGTAGTTTAGATGGGTCAAAAGACATCTCCAAATCTGCAAAAATGACAAACAGTTAGGCTCGACCTAAATCTCACAAACAACAAGTGAAAAGAACAGGGGAGGAAGACCGTACCCTCGAGGCCTTTGACGTTTGCCAGATCGATGGTGTCATCCTCGAGGAGATAATCAATCTTTTCTGTTAGGGGGTTATGATTCACTAATCTCAGCCTATCCCATTCTAGAACTTCAAAATAAGCCTGACCCTCATTAAACCTATCTCTGTCTGGAACTTCCCACCTCAGGCTAAAAGGGTGATCGGGATCGTGAGGTTTGACAAAAAAGAACCGCTCTTTCCAGCCTCGGAGAGAGCTCGGGGACTCTGGAGTCCTAAATCCCCATTCGGTAGACAAATATACAAAACAATTATACCCCGACGAGAATTTCATGTCAAAAACCATCTTCAATAGATCAATCCTAGGCTCAATCTCCAAGCACCTACAAAGGATAAAGAAGTATACTAGGAGCCTCCACCCGTTCGGGGCTAACTGACCCAGGCACAAATAGAAAGAGGTCAAGAAATGGATGAAGAAGAAGGTGGCGAGGCCATCTAAACCCAACCCTAAGGGCATCCCTAAAAAATGTCATCTCTCCCTCTCGAGCTCCGATTACGGTTTCGGTTGGCTCGGGGGTTCTAACATCACACAAAGGCATGACCCCAAATTCCTTGGCTATCTTAATGATTACATTTTCTTTGTATTTTGTAGGGTTTGTTGGATAGGTCAATACTACCTCGCTTTGAGAACGCGAGCTCACAGGTATGGCCATTGGAATTAGGGAAGTACCTATGGTTTCGGGGTTCTCACCATCGTTTGAGCTCCTAGAGGGTTTGCTACTATCACTAGAACTCGATTCTTTGCTGCTATTACTGCTACTCGACATTATGATTTTCAAATAATTAACAACTTAAAGGCATGATCTCTTACCTTTTTGAAAGGGCACTCACAGACTCGCTATCCCTGAACTCGAGCTTTCTTTTACTGGAGAGTGAAAAGTGAAAGTGAAATGTGGGGACTATTTATAGGGGTCTTTGGAATGTCAACGATCTATTAATCCTGGCCTTTGAACGAAGACACGTGGCGGCCATCCAAGATCGTGACCTAACATTGCACGTGGCAGCCATCTAAGGTCGTTCTCTAACATCCAATCGAACACCTGACACGTGGAAAGACACCTGGACATCTATGCCTTTACATCTTCACTTGTAGATCAAGCTTGGACAGGAGTCTACGACCTTGATGCACAGGGGCCTGTGATGACCTTAGATCTTGTAATCCCGAACTCGATCCCTGAACCCCGACCTTGACATCACCCAAAACTACGAAATCAAGGTCGGGCCTTTGAGGTCGGGGTTTGTATGTCAACTCGCCAGTCCTTCTTAACGACCTATGAGTGCACTAATTCTACTTAAGCTACAATCTTTACCCTATTTGACTCTTTCTTCGATTCAAACAATGGTAGAACACTTGGAATGAAACACTAACTCCTTATCCTACGAGGATAAGGATCACACAAGGATAAGTCATTCTAGGACTCTATCATTAACACCTATAAATACATAACCCAGACTCATTCTTGAGGTACGTTTTTCATTATTTTCAGTTTACAGTCTCACGCACTAAATTTCATATCTGACTTAAGTATCGGAGGGGCGACGAGCACACACCTCGTTGCCTTTATTGCAGGTATTCGAAGGCCGTTCGTTTTAATCAAAGTTCGAAGTTCGATCATCAAATTCGAGATCTTTCAAATACTATTTTTTGGTAGCATCAGCATCAATACGCAAAATATAATAATATTATTATTAATATTAATAATAATAATAATAATAAATTAAAATTGTAAGCGCTAGATAGAGTAAATTTATGGTTCTTGAAAAGTGAAAAGGTGCTTTTGAAATCTGTTTGGCTAATTTTAAAAAAAAAAAAAATTTCTTCCAATTACAGTTTTTGAAGGAAGCTAGTCCACTTAAGGCTTACTCGAAAAATATTTCAAATAGGAAGCTTTTTTAAAAATTAATTTTCGAACAAAACTTAGAATAACTCCTCAGGAAATTTTTCTGGAGAAAGCAAAAGTAAAAATAAAATGTTAAACAGGCCCTTAATATTTTTAAGCTCGAACAACCCAGATTTTAACCGACCGCCACTACGTAAAGTTGAAAATAAATAAAGCATGCTGCAAAAATTTTGTTCATACAGTTTCAGAAATGCAAAGGAGAAAAGGTTGAACCCGTGAATGGAATTAGGCCCACTAATTGGACTTAACAATTCATCTTGAAACCAAAAGGTATGTCCTGGTGTCATACTTGGGTTTTTATCATATAGGAAGCATTGACCTACAACACAGAAAATCACATTATGCGAAATCTATTGAAATATTAGATAAGTTGAATAGTATACTATCGAATAATATAAATTAAAGAAGAAAATAAGTTAAGATCTTATTCGTGTACTTATGATAGACATATTTTTCATCTGTATCCAATCCCAATAAGAATAGAAGCAAGTCAATTATAGCTTGTCTTGTTGTCATAATCTTCAATTTTTTTACGCACATCCACCAAAATGTTCACTTGCTTAGAATGAAATAAACTTGATAGTTATATGAATATGACTTGAGTTACGCAAGTTTGATTGAGGATTGAAGATTTTTTAGTCCCACTATTGAATGGCAAACTTGTCTTGAATTTCGTGTAAAGATATTGAGGCAAAGGAAAACCCTAAAAATGGAGCTATAGACGGTTTCTATAATGGAAAGGCTCGAAATTGCACAATCAATAAATGAACTTTGAAAGTAGAAGGAGACATGCATTATACAAAGTCCCACTTTGGTGGACACACATTCTAAAGGAAAAGGATTAGAATAGATCATAAAGTTTAATGCTATGCCCTTAGTTTCTACAGAATAATCATTATGTCTATGCATTCGCATTACTATTTGTTCTCTGCTCAATAATGATTGCAACATATACTTGTGGAAAGAAAATAATTGGACACAAATCATTTTTTGTCTCGTGTTATATCCAATAAGAATATTTGTATTTAGACAGTCAAAAATTCGAAATGAGTAATGCTATTCATAATGAAGACTATCGATAATCGTCCAACGTGACATACACATGACAATTTGTTATTTAATGCATTAATTTGGTAGTTTTTTTTATTGCCTCATACATTAACAAACTGCCAAATTAATGATCAAATAACAAATTGTCGTATGTTTGTCACGTAAAGTAACTATCGATAATTTTCAATGTGAATAGCATTATTCATTTGAAAAACAGCACAAACCATAATGCCCTATATGGAAAACAGTAAAAGACATTCTCAGAACAAACCCAGCTGTCTGAATATGTTTTTGAAATCAAAAGAAACAAAAAAGGGAACATAAAAAAAGCCCAGAAATTGATTTGTTCCCAAGGAATTATGGTAAGAGATCACGAGAATTAAACACTCTTTTTATTCTTTTTAACTTAATTTGCATCTTTAGAAAAAAAAATACACAAATATTCCTTATCATCAGAACAATTACCAAGGGAAAAAAACGTCACATCCATTCACGAATTCGAAATTACGCTCTCAACTATACATGTTATACATATATGTGTTGGTATTGTCTCGGATAAGATATATTAACACATCGCTGTCCAAACAAGCACACATTTACTTAACATCTAGTAATTGTTATGGAATAGACAATTGGCTCTTCCAATTGTTAGAAATTTTAATCGGTTGGACCGACTCTTGATGGTGTAGACGAAGGAGTAGATGAAGAAGTAGGAGATGGCCAAAATTGGGCATTCTTCACCTTAGAAATGCTTGTGAGTACACTTAGAGGTGTCACATCCCCAATTATTGTCACTTTTTTTGTGGGCAAATCTATTTTAAATGATGCCACTCCTGGAAAAACAAAAAAATGAAATTATATTAATCAATCCGTTTGAATATTTTTTTCTTGAAAGCAAAGACACTACTAGCTAGTAATATATTACCTAGATTAGCATTGAAAAACTATAGTATTTACATAAACATAGTATTGTGTATGTATAAGCGAGAGCAACAAATTAAGTCCTAATTTTAATGACTTTAGAGTCTTCTACATGAATTTCTTGACGTTTAGTGGAAAATTCAAAATAATATTTTTATAGAATTTGTAATGTCTTGCCTTCCATTCTAGAGATATGTTTCCTCAATTTTCGTTCGCAACCCTTGCAATGGATTGACACCCTCAATTCAACAACCTATAAACAACACAATAAAAATGATCAAAAAATTAAGTAGCGATATTAGAAAGAAAAAATAATTATAAGAATGATAAATGAGTAGATAAAGAACCTTTAAACTACGATGACTTGGTCGAGTTGATGAAGATTTGTGAATGTCAAGATGATTGCTCAAGTGTCTTAAAGGAAGCTTAGTATCATTTGAGCATGTTGGCGAAGATTTTTCCACTAGCGAAGAGTACTTCTTCAAGAGCATATTCTCATCCGTGCCTTTTGAAGAAGATTTAAAGACTGGATACTGCTTTACGGGCATATTCCTAGGAGGAGACTCATATGATCGAGTGGACAAGGACTTGAAAACCCGAAAATTGTCAGAATCCATACGTTCGGTCCTAACAGGCTGATTACTAGGAATCAAGGCTGAAATGCGTTCAGAATCTGATGTGAAATCAAGAAGTGGTTTATCACTCAATAAGTAACTTGAAGAACCAAGGTCATTGACATCAGCTGAGCTTTTTCTACGAAATAATTCACTTTGCTTAGAAGAATTTTTTCTGTTTTTTTGATAATAAGTTCTAGGATCAATGGGGAGTTGGGATGAACAAGGTGGTGGTGCTCTGCTTTTAGGCCAGTCGCCAAGACGGTGAATATGTCGGTCGACTGCCTTCATGCCATGTGGCATGGTGGAGCACTGGTCCGTGCTTGAACATATGGCGGTGGCTGCCGGTGAGGCACAAAATAGGTCTATGGATTTCATTTTTGTTTTGAAGCAAAGTGAGAAACTATTAGGTGAAATGAGGGCAATGTGTAGAAAATGTCTAGAAAGAATTACTTTTGTGAAAGATCTTCAAAATGAGACCATTCAATTTGCTTATAAAGCAGAGGCTTGAGGGATCAGAAAGAGAGAGGAAATTTTAATAAAGAGTAGAAAAAATAACAAGAAAATGGATCTACTAGAATTGATGAATAATGTTAAACCTTGAAGGACCTTTAAAGTTGTGTTTTTGCCCTTTTGTGTTGTGGGTTTTTCTCAGGGTGGGTCGGGTGTGGGGTATGGGGGAACATGGTTGGGATTGTGCTCTCCTCTTTTGAAACTTTACGTGGTATGATGATATGATTACTAGCACTAGTAGTAGAGGGAATTAGGCTAAAGTTTCAAACTGTGTGAACCTATAATTGACATATCATTGTTGAATATCAAAACCAATACCAACCAGTATTGACCTATAAGGCCATTAGAAACCGAAAGTATAGCCTTGTTGACCCGGGAGGATAACGTTGTTGACATCAAAATTCGGCTATATAATTATGATTATGAGATGTTCTACTTAGTTGCTTTATACTTTATGGATTTTGACCATTATTTTCATCTTTGTATTAGTGCGAAAAAAGGTCTGGCTCTAGGGTTAAATAAACAAACACTTTCGTCAACACAGTAGTGGGACACTCCGCTCGAAAGACTGAGCTTAGGTGCATAGCGCTTAAATAAGGTGGTTGAAGAGGTGGACAAGTAGGTTAAATAATAATACTACTTCGAAATAACTTATTTCTTATTAAAAAAATGGATAAAAAATTATCCTATATATGAGAAATTTTAATTTTACCTCACTATTTTGCAACAACCTTTAACGTCCAATAAGATTAAATAGTACAAGAAACGAAAATTTTATCCATTGATAAAATTGATTTATCAGTTACATATTATTATTTTATGTTTTATTGATATTTATACTACTAATATTGTTTATAGAAATAATTAAATAAAACAGCTAAAAAGCTCTAGTGTGTGTATATATATATCATCGAATGGGAATATGATAAATTTTACAATTTATACTTTGCCCTCAAACGTGTGCACTTTTTTTTAGGTATAGATAAAGCTGATTTCTTGATCGTATTAAAGATAACTCGAAAGAATAACAAATAAAATTATTATTTTTTATTTTTTTATATCGTTGAATACTTATAGTATAGTCAATCTTGTCAAATAGACGACAAATGTGACTCGATTCTCTTACGTGAAGAAGACTTTTAAGATAGAAATTTCAACAATGCAGCTTGTACAGGCCCTGTTTCACAGGGCCTGGCATTTTTGTAGAAATTTATGGTTGGGTGGGAACTCATGGTAATTGATTTACAACCACGCGTTTAAGTGTGGGGCTTCAATTTTAATGTGAAAGATTAATGGGTTGTTTTCGTTGAACTTCACCTTTTCAGTGAGGGTTCTTTCTCTTTATCTTTCTTTTAATTTATTTATTTCATTGTCTACATATTTGGTTGATCTGTACTCACAATATTTTTAATGAAATTTTGTAGCATCGAACATTCTCAATCTTCGAAAATGTAACATAACTTATTATTTTGTCCATTTTGTCCTTATCGTAAAACAAGGGGGAGTCAGAAATTTTGTTCAGTGCGGACATAATTTAACCCATGTCGAACATTGTGTTTTTGTCATGAATTTCATGATGATAAAACTATAAAACAAAATCATGTGTTTAGGCCTAAAAATAAAACTCATGTAAATTAAAACATATTTTTATTCCACCTCTACTGTTGCTTTTAAAAAATAAAAAATGAAAAAAAAGTTTGAGCCTAAAATTTCAGCTCCGCCCATGCCGTAAAAGCCATGTAAAATGGCAAATTTGTCATAACAAAAAAGCAACTAAATAAATAAATAAAGGAAAAGTTGCAGCTGAACCCCTAGATATTCTCAAAAATTACAAATATATCACAATAAATTTTTCATCATCACAATCTAAAGGTTCTACATATGGAATTTTCCCTCTTCAATTTCTGAAATGCAAAACAGGCTGGAAAAAATTCATACGATAGCCCAAAAATAAAGGCCAATAGAGTCCATAGGAGCCCACATAATAACAGTCTTCTCTTTCCTAGGGCTAGGGTTTTTCGAAGTTTCGATCACTCTATTCCACTTGTCAACAGAGAGAAAGAAGAAACTTGAAATGGGTAGGAGAAATAAACTATTAATTTCCATTTTTGTGCAGTTTTTTTTCCTTTTATTAACAATTCGTTATTTTTATTATTTACTTTTGTAGCGAGGATTAAGGTGCACGAATTGAGGCAGAAGAGCAAGGCGGAGTTGCTGGCCCAGCTGAAGGATTTGAAGGCGGAGCTGGCACTGTTGCGGGTGGCGAAGGCCACCGGTGGCGCCGCGAACAAGCTTTCAAAAATCAAGGTGGTGAGGCTCTCCATTGCCCAGGTGCTGACCGTGATTTCTCAAACGCAGAAGGCCGCACTCAGACAAGCTTACAAGAATAAGAAGTACTTGCCGCTTGATCTCCGCCCGAAGAAGACCCGCGCCATTCGCAGGCGCCTTACCAAGCACCAGGTATACCTGTGATCATATTGTTGAATCAACATGTTAAATTACATTAACGAATTTTTCGTGATTAATTGAGTTGTTTGTTGTGGATTGATCTTTAAATGTTGAATATTTTCAAATGTTGCTTAATTAGGGGTTTTCTGGCCTAAAATGATATTTGGCACTCTAGGAGACCCGTTTAGTGAAGATTTGCTTATATGTATATTTGAATTTTAATCAAGACCAAACATGTGCTAAAAGATTTGTTTTGGCGAAGAATTGAAATGACATGCTCTCTGCAGCAAATAGGTGTTTGAGAGTTAAAAGCGTAAAGAGAGTTTGTTATGAATAGTTAATGTTTTCTGCATAGTTGAATTTAAGTAAAGAAGAGGCCTTTATCTTCTACTTGTATGGTTATTCTCCTCTTTTTGTTTCAATTATGGCCTTTATGCTCATCTTACTCTTCGTAATGCCTTATTTATTTGCTTGTTAATGTAGCTAAACATGCTTTGAAACTGTTAATGTAGCTGTTTCCTTTTGGTATCATTAATCGTTGTGTTAATTTTCATTACGAATTTTTCGTGATCAATTGAGATTTTTGTTGTGAATTTGTCCTCTAATGTTGTATCTTTATAATTCATGATCCCTTGTTGTAACCTAGAGCACTTGATCTTGCATAATTAGGATTTTTAGGATGATATTTGTGCTTATATCTTGTCAGCATTTCATTTCTGTCCTGTTAAAATGATAGCTAGCAATCTAGGAGACCCGATTAGTGAAAATTTGCGTATAAGTAAATTTGACTTTTAATCAAGGCTAAACATACTTCCCACAGCAAGTAAATGTTAGAGTAATTTGTGTATTGTACTGTTTTTTGTGTTAAAATATGAGCTTTTCATGATTCGTTGAGTTTTTGTGCGAGATATTTGAGTGCTATGTGAATGATATAATCACAGTGAATTTAGGAGAAGAAAGGAACGTATCTTCTACGTGTAGGAGTCGCCGGGATGCTCTTAATTCTTATATGTATGCTTATTCTCTGCTATTTGTTCCAATTAACGTCTTTTTGTAGTCCTAAGTCATAGTAAGTACTTCAGGAAACCTGAATGATGATCCTTATCCTCATCTTACTCTTCATAATGCTCTATTTATTTACTTGTAAGTAAACTTTTCAAGTTTAGCCAAACATGCTCTTAGAGTTTCGATATTGTGTAGCTATGTCTTTCCAGCTCGTTGTTAACTTGAGGTCGTTTTTCAGGCATCTTTGAAGACAGAAAGGCAGAAAGCGAAAGAGACGTATTTCCCAATGAGAAAGTATGCAATTAAAGTTTGAGTTGTTTGTGCTGGATTTGAGTTTTTGGAGGATAATGATACTTTTTTACATTTATTTTTTCATACTTTCAGTTAGTCAGAAATTGTTATTTTAGAACTTTGAAATGAGTACTATTGAGCCCTTTTATTTAATGATTTACTCATTTTCTGAGCTTTTGCACATGAGAAGGCATAAATGAGTTTGTCTTCGACTTGGATCAACTGATGAATATGAACAAGTAGAATAATGCAAGAGTTATGCTACAATGACAAAGGAGTTTGACAAAATTGGATGACAAAGTTGGATCTACACCAATCATTTCAAAAATAGATTTTTAAATCATCTGAAATTAGTGGTCTGGATTTCGTCAACACACTTTGTAAAGTCACTTTTGTAAACCAATTTTGTTGAAGTAGAATTATTGATAATGCAAGGATATAAACTTGTTAGAAAATATGGATCATGATAGTTGTACATAAAAGTTGACACAATGATTTACACTCATGTCGGTCAGCATATTTTGGTACACTGATCTTGACAACATCTTTTTCAATCAAATGTCAGATTTTTGATACATATGGGTGTCAATTAAGATATATACTTTGTGTATACAAGTGGTTTAATCATAAAAATATTGTTGTGCTCAATAGTTTGTTGAGTGGTAAGCCACCTCAAAGGTATTTTAGACCTCACCAGTGATGTGGCAAGATCACAATTTGGACATATTGATCTTTATGTGAATCAAGATTTTTTTTTTTTTTTTTTTTTCAAACCAAGATAATCCCAAAAGTTCCAATAACAAAGGAATGGTTTGGACGTATTGATTTAGTCCATCTGCTTGACTTTAAGTGTCCCGTTTTGGTTTACTCATTAATGAAAATTTAACCTCATTTGCATGACCTTGAATTATAGTTGATTCTACCAAAAATCTGCACCTATTGATTCTTGAGCTCGATGGCCAAGGATGGACACGAACAGAATTTCTAGGACCTGAAACAAGGAAAATGAGGTGTGACTCCTTACCCCTCAGATGCATAAATTAGCAATAGGGAAAATATAAGTGTAAAGCTATAAATTGAATGTAAGAGCATGCTTAAATAATGATCCAATGCTTTGTATTTATAGAAGTAGGTAGTACACTCCTAGTAGAATGAATCAATTGAATATTCTTATCTTCAAAAGTCCTACTTGAGGTGGGTGTTGAACTTGTACTATAATTACGGGGTCAATCTATTTTCAATGGTAATATTGTTGAGACAAATTCCTCCTCGATATAGGAGTCTTGGGTTGAGATGGTTGGATAGCGATAAGATCCCAGGGAAGTATAAATCTTTTTTAGGTTAAGGATTCGTTTGAATGCAAGAATGAAATTTGAGTGAAAAGAAAATAAATTTCTTGGAAATGAATTGCCTATAATTTATTTAATTGAAATTGTCAATTAAATGTGTTTGATTGATATAAATTTTCACTAAAAAAATATTGCATTTTTTTGATTTTTTTGGTATTCGTTTGGCTTTGTTTTTTCATGAAAATTGTCAATTAAAGGGATATAATTTGTTACAATTTGGGGTATAATTCGTTTCAATTTAAATTTTAAAAAAAAGCACCTGAAAAGCCAAAAACCACCAAATCCATGGGAAAACCAATTCTTAGGTGGAAAATGGGGGTCGCCAAGAAAACCAATTGCTAAAAAAATTTTGCCAATCAAAAATGCAAAAAAGGTGAAAAATGGAATTTAATTTCCTACTTCCATAAAAAATTTGTGCAATCAAATAGGGCATAAGTGAAATGGTCTTGGGTTTGATCAAGAAAAATGCTCGATGACATCAACTCTCAGAGTAGTTCACATATCCCGAGGACGATCACCATAAAATGTCGTAGACATGTAAATTAGAGCTCGAGCATATGCATAGGTCTCGAGGACTATTTTAATGCCCGAGTATGTTGGCAGTGGACAGTTCTCGAGATTTCAAGGGGTCAGAATGTGCAAATATTGGCTATATTTGACACATGTCCAATGACAAATATCCGAGGATTCCCATGACACAGTCAATATTCAACCTAGGGTATGCGATTCTCGGGTTGGACAGGCTATTGCTATATCAGTAGTAAATAACAAAACAAAGGGAAATTTATGGAAATAACCTATTCAAAAAGGTCACTTTTTCAAAATGACCCTTAGACAATTTACATACCAAAAATATCCTCCATTTGAATATTACAAAACAAGGCATCATAATATAGAAATTTTATATTTTAGTCATTAAAATTAAATATTGGTTAAATTTTGATAGTTTTTATTTGAATTTTTTTAATTAATATTTTTATTTGGTTTTTGTTCGCTCTAAGTAGCCTCCCTAATTGGTATCAGAGTTATAGAGATCATGAAAATAAAAATAAGAAAAATAGATAATTATTGGTGTTTAGAAGAAGAAAAAGGTAGTTATATATTTTTAAAACATATTCAAAATAGATTTAAAATAATGACTTTAACAATAATTAAAGAACTCCCTAAAGAAATAAAGGAACAAATATTAGAGAAATTAATAATAGAAAAAATAAAAAAAATATATATATATATACATATGAAAAAATTATTAATATATATGAAGATGAAGAAAATAATTTATATTATAAAGAAAAATATGAGTATAATTGATAATACACATAAAAAATTAAATGAATTACTTTTAAAAATGGATAAAATATAAGAAGAAATAAGAAATATAATGTTAGTACCAAAAGGAATGAGAATACCAAATAATAGATAATTAGCAAAATTAAAATGTGAAAGATTAAAACTTGAGAGTAAATACTTTACTATAGTAAAAGAAGAATTAGTAGATCCAGATATAGCTAAAAGAAGATTTGGAAAAATAATAGATAAAAAGGAAGATAAAATATGCAAATTAACGTATGTGTTAGAAATAAGAAAAAAATTAAGATGTCAATAAGTGAATATATGGAAGAATTAAAATCATTAATAAAAATGTTAATAAATGATGTACAAGATTTAAGAAATGAAGTAAAAGAAACAAGAAATGATATAAGTATATTAAAAATTGAAATTAGAGAATTAAAAGAAAGTAATAAAAATAAAGATAAGAAAATAGATAAAAAAAAAA